AAATCACAACGTTTACAGAACGTTATATCACAACCAAATTTTCACCAATTTTCATAAAAAATGTTATCGTTTTTATAAAACGTTTTAATAACAATTTTAAAACGTCGCTGTGTATTGTTGCCTTTTGTTTCCAGATTCAATGCACCATAACGATATAAAAACGTTATAATAACGTACGCAAAGACTCCTCAACAAATGTATAATTAGAACGAAATCACAACGTTCACAGAACGTTATATCAAAACCAAATTTTCACCAATTGTCGAGAAATTGTTTTCGTTTTTATAAGTCGTTTTAAAAACGATTTTAAAACGTCGCCGTATTGCGTTTTAATTGCAGTTTCCTTGTACAAAAAGTTATAAAAACGTTGTAATATCGTAAGTAAAATACTTACAAACACGTTTGAAACACGTTTATCACAATTAAATCACAGCATTCACAGAACGTTACCTCGCAACCAAAAATGACCACCACTTTATTCCAGCAATTTAATTTACTTATTTTATAAAGACCAAACGTACCCAATGCTACGCCCAAACAATTAACATAGGTAATCAATCAAATTTGAACCAATTATTCAGGTTAATTGTTTTCTTTAACTTTAACACATTAATCTGTATAAATCTACGTGGTCACCGTCATCATCCATGCATTTATAATGAGTCATAGCCACGAATAAAATTTACTGATTTGTCAACAAGCGTCACGTGACAATTTATGTACGAGAACACGCGCAACCGTTGACCGATTGCCATTTTGCGCCTGTTTTTCGTTGGATGAGTGACGCCCGTTTTCTGAATTCAACTTCTGCTGATACTTTTAGAAACCCTAACTTTTAATCTGATCGTAACAATTTTATGAAACTTTAGAAGGTAAGTTTATTGTTTGATATACATTAAGTTGAATTGTCTTTTAGAAAAAACACAATAAGAAAACAAGCCAGAGCCGTCGGTAGGCCTAGGCCCCAGGCGAGGAAAACACGTCAATCAACTAGCCAGCCCAGGCCTAGGTAGGTAGCCAGAGAGTTGAAAACTAAGTAGGAACAGATTTGCTAGCAAATGGAGCACAAAGGCGCACTGAGAGCTGAGGGTTTAATGCTCATGCCCTAGGGAAAAAAAATCCGTTTTCTGCAATAGTTTGTTGGTGTTATTTGACGTCAGGTTTTTTGGTTTTGTCATGGTTCTATCTAAATACGGATCCTAGGCCAGGGCCTAGTTCTACAGTTAACCTGTGCTGTAGGCCTATGCCTAAGTGTATTATTAAACTGCGAGGCATTTAATGACAAATGTTCCTTTTAATAGTTTTAAATCAAGAACAAATCTGGGAATATCATGATGGATGAGGTAAAATGCGCCTTGTCTGTCTCATGCTAGCGGTCCGGTTGAATTAGACAGATGACTATAAACAATAAATTTAAATGTGTTAGGCCTATGTTATTATACATTATTTACTATGGTTTTGTAATTTATATATTTTTATTTTTGTACTATTTGTTACACTTTATATATAATAAATGATAAGAATGTATGGAGTTTTGTTTTTTTTTACTATCTGGCAAGCTGACTGAGCAAATACTCACAAAATTTAAATTAAACGATAGAAAGAACAAGTAAATAAATTTAAATACGTCCCAAAAATATTTAATAAATCAGTGCAAAAACCGAGTATTAAATAAATTGAAATAATTGAGTAAATAAACTGAAATACATCCCAAACAACAGTACAAAGAGCGAATAATTTAATTGAAATACGCCGCAATTAACGCACTACATTCACTGAGAGATGCACTTGGCGTTCCATAGAAATGACCGGCGGCTCAACTTGTCGGCGGCTCAACCGGTCATAATCCGTCTGTCTCATGCTAGCGGCCCGGTTGTATTTGCCCTGGTACTGGCACATAGGCCTAATCTAATTAGTTTTACTAGTGATTCTTAGGCATGACGTTTTTATATTTTTCATGAGAAGTTGCTAGCTATAATATTACAGTTAAGATTTCTAAGTCTGACTTTCAGTGTCGGAACAGGTCACAATGTCATTCACCATTTTGATTGTGCTGAATACTATTTTTGTATTGCCTGTATGACTGCTCATTTGTGGATTTTATATATTAATTTTTTATAAACTCTTTAATATTTTTTGGTTGATGCCATTAATTGATAAATTTATGTTTACTTTTAGTTACCAATGACCTGTATGACTGTTCATTTGTGGATTTTATATATTAATTGTTTATTAACCTTTCTTTATTTTTTGGTTAATGCCATTAATTGATAAATATATGTTTACTTTTAGTTACCAATGACCTGAGGGAAGAAAGTTCAACAGCATTTAAGCAAGTCCACCGTTCTTCAGTAAAGGCACTCTGTATGCATTATTAAATACTGTAAGTCCAGGCTTTATCTTATTATTATTATACAATATTACGTCATTGTTTGTTAATTATTGAAATGGTGGGCTATCAGCACGATATGTTAACCTTGTATGTACTGTATGCGTATGTTTATCATTCCATAATGATCACTTCAAACAGTTTAATTACCTATCATATTTTCATTTATTACTTTCATTATATTAACTGATACATTGATTTAGAATGGGAAACCCATTCAGTCCCATAAGCGCTTTAAGCGCTCTCTAATTATCGTCAGTAATTAATCAATTAATTAACAATAATTAAAAAAAAAACGTATGTGCAGTAATGTGTGCATGTATTTTCATTAAATATTCGGGAAAATATCAAAAAATTTTATAAAAAAAATGTTTCTTGGTGCTTTTTTAATTAACTTGAATGATTAGAGTAATTAAAAATATGAAATATGATCGTTATTTTTGTAATATGATACCCTTGAACGGGAAGGCGCCGCCGTCAACACTGATGAATAAAATCGTCTAAAAATACACTTTTTTTCAAAAAGTAACAAATCTGACACTTTCCTATAATATAAATATATATTCAATATACATACTGTACCCTGTCTCTTATACACATCTAGATGTGTATAAGAGACAGACATAAAACAAAATTAGTAGTTGCATACGTATTCTTTTTTCATTTTCAATGAATCGATAAGTTCCAAAGAAAAAAGGGAGAGGGGGTCCGGGGATTCTCCGCCGGGAAAATTTTGATTCCTTGAAGGCGGGAAATGAGTTTTCCCGACTTCTGAGGTGTCTTTTATTTACTTTTAAGTTCTTCGAAATTCAAGATATTCCCCTCTTGAAAATTATTATGATGAATAAATGAACCCAAAGAGAAAAGGGAGGTTCAGGTTCTCCCCGGGGAAATGTTGATTTCTAAATGGTGGGAAATGAGCCTTTCCGACTTCTGAAGTATCTTTTAGCGACTTTAATTTAAGTTCTTCAAAATTCAACGTTTTAGATATTGAAAAGAATATGTTTGGTTAAGTCAAGTTTAACAGTAATGAAAAATCACTTCACTTCAAAAAACAATACTAAAATTCATCCTACATGTAGAAATATTAAGTATAAAAGCAAAGAAGGCCAAATGTAAATTAAATAGACACATTTTTTGTGTTCACTTTTTACAGAAACTTGAGCAAGTTTGTAATGAAGAAGATGTAGTTGCCAGAAGAGATGACAACGATGAGGACGACGGCAATATTATGTGAATGCGTTTGATTTGTAGCACATCCTCTTTATTGGTTCTGATACAACTTTCTACTCAGCAAATGGTTCCAATTTGACAGAACGGCTATGAATTTCCTCTGTCAAGGCTTGATTCAGAGACAGTGTAGCCATCTGCTTTTCGGAATATCCTAGATTTTTAAGTGTGCACTATGGAGTTTTTGTACACTGGTCCTCTTGTTTGTTATTTATATTTGTTTGACATTTTTAAAAATCAATTGAACTTGCCAAATACTGAATAGATGATATGGAACTTGATCTTTTATTAACTGTACTTACAGAAATAGTATAGAATTGTCAGCACTTGACTCTAACTTGATTTTGATTTACTTTTTTTTTATATTGATTATTGTAAATCCTTTTGTCCTATATTGAAATGGAGCTTATGCTAAACTACAGTATAGCAAAGTACAGTACAGGACGCATTAAACATTAAAGGGTAAACACATAACGCTACATAAGTGTAAGTAACTTTGTATTGTTGTCCTCTTCTGTCCCGGAGCATCAAAGTTAACACGATGTAGTTGGAATCATACATGTGACCAGAGGCCGACCTAAGGATATATACGGTTCAGTGTACAGCGTTTGTTCAAGTTTTGAAAACGCCTTGGAACACCGATTAAACTCAAAAGTTTTACCATTATTTTGATGTTTTTAAAACATTCTTAAAATGTGTTACAATACCAAAGTCAATGTAACTAGAGCTCTAGTTACATTGACTTTGGTATTGTAACACATTTCTAGTTACATTGACTTTGGTATTGTAACACATTTTAAGAATGTTTTAAAAACATTAAAATAACGTTATAATGACGTTTCTGAATGTTAAATTGAAACGTTATTAAAACGCTTTAAAAACTCCACATAAATACATTTTTAAAACGTAATATTATAACGTTTTACAAACGTAATAAAAACCCTTTGTAAACGTTTTTAAAACGTGATACAAGACCAAAGTCGATGTAACCAAGGTTATTTTTACGTTATAATAACGTTCTTAAAACGTTACATAAAAACGTTATTAAAACGCTATCAAAACTCCACAAAATTACGTTTTCGAAACGTTTCACTAAAACGTTTTTTGAACCAAACTCATACGTTTTTATAACGTTTTTTTTAACGTTAAATTGTTAGCTGGGTATTTAACATTTTTCAATCATTGTCAATCTAAAGTCGGAGTTATGTCCTGGTTTTGACCCTTTAACGTCACTATTGGATAGGCTTATCTTCATAAGACTTCTACGAATAATTATTGTAGTGTGTAGTGTTATAATTGCTATCTGCTTGTTTGTAAACTTGACATTTTGGTCAAATTAATGAATAATTGACACACTGCCTTAATTCAACTTTATTATTAAATTGTATTTATAATATTTTATTGATGTATGCCTAATATAATTTTAACTGGTGGTCATGGCTTAAAGTTTGATTCTAAACTTATTTTGACCTCCTAATGTCCATACATGTATTATGTAATGTAATATTATTATTTGTTTTTTGTTTTTTGTACAGTATTATGTGAGTGAACAAATTAAATGAAATTTAAAAAAAACACACAGACTATACAACTGCTTCTCTTTTGTTAAATAATGGCTCTGAAAAGAGCCTTTTGGTTTGAGATTCTTATTTATGTGAGACTGCTAAATCTTGAAAGATGTTTAGCTACTGCTACATCTTTCCCTGGTATGCTAAATGCTGAACGAACAGGTGGTAGTGGAGAACTGAATTGTGGAATGGAGAGTTGTAGGTCTTTCTTCCCACTGCTACACAATTAGATTACCTCTGCTATAAGCTTATATTTTATAACTGGTTTTTTTCGCCATTTCTTCCTATATTTTTCCTGTATGGGAGGATGAAAGCAATTTGGGAAGTGCTCTGAATGCCCAATATAAATGTTTTGAATATGATTCTTTAAACTCATAAACTTCCCAAGCATTTCAATTGGATCGCTGCTAGGTGTCAACGAAGTCACCAAATAAACATGGTTTTTTGCCCACTCCTGCACAACTTCACAATCATTTTTCTTTCCCGATGACTCGAACTCTTTTTCTAAGGCCTGAACAAATAGTTTAGAAGAATGATAAATATTAATGTTATTGCTGAACAAAATAATATTTTCAAAACCCAACCAAGAGCAAATTATTTGGTCCACTTTTACTAATATAGGCAGGTAAAATGAATAATACAATAATAATTGGAGTGGAATAAAGCCAGAACATCGGATGACAAATTAAAAAAAAAAAAAATAGGCCTGAAAGAACAGTATAAAAAAAATTGAACAAATTGAAAATAATTTTTTAAAATCATATTGATGCATAAAATAGTTACTATTTTACAATATGGTTTGTTTTTTGCAATATAAAGAAATTGAGGAAGTTTATTTAGTTGATCCCTGAATAATAAGACGTTTACTATATAGGGGAGGAACACAACAATAAATGTAACAATGTTATAATTTGTTAAAAAGCGCGAGATGTGATACACAGCGTACGCAACAGTTTCAAGTTCATTCAGTGCAGCTAGTCATGATTGGTAGAGCATGTATGCTACACTACTACAAAACTTTACAGTTTTATTTATAAAAGGAAGCTTTGGATTTATTTTTACATTGAAGGATTCATGGATGTGTTTGACATAGAATTTGAAAGAATATAAGTATGATTAATATTGTTTTTACAATTGTATAAGAGACAGGAAATGGACAATGATTTAGTAAAAGAGATGC